TTAACCCTGACCTAGACATTTCTGAAGGTGGACTACTGTCATTATCCTTCTGCACAGTGATTGCCAAGGGGTATATTAGAGACACCATCAGCTAAAAGTTTTCTCTGGATGTTTTCAAATTTAAGGGAAACTGTACCTTTTCCTCTATGGCAGTGGATCTCAACCTTCCTAATGCAGCGATCCTTCAATACAGTTCCTCAGATTGTGGTGACCCCCAATCATAACATTATTTTTGTTGCTACTTGATAACTGTAATTTTGCTCCTGCTATTAATTGTCATGTAAATATCTGATATGCAGGATGTTTTTTCATTGTTACAAATTGAACATAATTAAAGAATAGTGATTCATCACAAAAACAATATGTAATTACATATTTTGATATATTTATTTCTAATTACACATAAATGAAATTTTGTCTTGAAGCCTGGTGTAGCATGGGTCTTAATATAACAACAGTAAACTACATTGTTATATTTGCACAGTATGTGTAAAAAGCCAACATCAGTGGGAAGGTTGAGATGGCTTCTTTCTCACCAGATCAGAAATTTTCGGGGCAGTCATTGCAGGAGCACAATAAAGATAATCTTCCAGAACAAGTCTACATCTGTGTTTTGACTTGATAACCAACAAGCTGTTTCACAAAGATATGTGGTTGGAAATGGAAGAAGACAGCACAACACAGTCTCAGACAGAACAGGATATGACTGCAAACACTTGATCCAGAATTTTGTAACTGGCATTGTAGAGAAATCAGTGCTTGCTGCATCACTGTTCATGAGTTCAATGAACTCTCGTGCTGTCTCAGGAACATCTACTTTGTCTGTGAATGGGCTCCTGGCAAGTGCAAATGGGGTGTCAGGTAGATTTGGAAAGTACAGTGAAATTTAGTCTGCAAACATGTGCAAGTTTTCTTTCACAGAAATTATCATCGTAAAACTTTTGCCTGGTTCAATGTCATATTCCTCCAAGGAAGCAAATATGGTAGGCAACATGTATATTTTATTTTCATCCAATTTTATTTTGCCAAAGCTGGAGTTCCATTTGGAATGATTTGATCCTCTCAAACAAATCAGGACATGTCGTGTTTGGTTCTTTCAGTGATAAATTTAACCCATTCAAGATGGCAAGGATGTCAACCCAGTAAGCTATTCTCTGCAGTTCTCATTTATTGCTGAAAAGAGCTTTGAACTCTGTCTTGCTTTCTGATTAAAAAACGTTTTGAGTTCCTTACTAAGCTCAAAAACACATTTTAAAACTTTCCCTCTCGACAACCATCTCACTTCAGTCTGAAATAACAGAGCATTATTTGG